ATGTATGTATGTATGTATGTATGTATGTATGTATGTATGTATGTATGTATGTATGTATGTATGTATGTATGTATATGTGTGTGAATGTCGTTTGATTTTCTGTAGTCAGACCTGACAAGAGCTTCTCATAAATAACCACTGACAAAACTTTAACAAGGTAAAGCTCATTAACTCATTGGCTGCCAAAGACGTCTATAGACTTCAATTCAAATACAACCGTTGACTGCCGAAGACGTCTATAGACGTCTTTTATGTTTTTCAATGAAAGTGGCTTGGGGGACGATCTGCTAAAGCTTGTCCGTAAATATCAGGCTTCTAGACAGAGTATGTACTAACAAATTGACCCTCTAGGTGGCAGTGCCACTTTTGATGGGAGATGAGCATAGATTGTAGGCCAATAAGAAAAAGGTAACGGTTCGCTATGAGAGAACATGTCGCCGGTGAAACGCAAGTCGAGGATGTCTGATGAAAGAAGAGAGTCTACTCTTTCTTTTGGTGTGTTCAGTGTTTTACATAGTCATAGCACAAACTATTCTGTTGCTCTTGAAAAATCAGTCGAAATGCTCAAAAAACTGGCAGTATGGGACTCTCTGTTCTGAAAATGGCTGGCAGTCAATGAGTTAACAGTCATGGGTCTGAATTTCACATAAATTATTTATTACATAAAGAATGTTTTTTTGATAAATGCAGTTTTACAAAAATCAAAAGCAAAATACAGTATGTGGTTCTGCAAACTTGGAAGCATGTTTCAAATATAATTGATTGCAGTTGTTAATGTTGATTTAGAAATAGCTAATTTCACTCTACTTAGTTAAATATCAGATACTATGTACTGTAACATTTTTTAAAAGAAGAAAATAGGGTTTATTTTATTTTCGTGTGACTCTTGTCATTACATTGGTAGACGTTGGTAGAGTCTGCATTTTCTCACTGCTCATTTTTACATATTTCTAACCTTTGTCTGTGTTGTAGAAGACTACCAGCAGCTTATTGAGGACATAGTGCGTGATGGTAGGCTTTATGCCTCTGAAAACCACCAGGATATACTGAAGGTATCAATTTATATTTTACAATTGCCACCGTAGGGACTAGAAACACAAGTTTAATAGTTGGAAATATCCTTTCGTCTAACTGGTGCCAACCAGTGCTATCCAACTGGTGCTATCCATGATATCCTTTCTCCCTATGTCTTCTTTATAGGACAAGAAGTTAATAAAAGCCCTGTTTGATGTACTTGCCCATCCACAGAACTACTTCAGATACACTGCAGCGGAGTCCAAAGAGATGTTCCCTCGCTCTTTCATCAAGTTGCTGCGCTCCAAAGTAACAAGATTTCTACGTCCATACAAATAAATGGGGAACTTTCCGGTTAAAGACAATATGACCTTGCATCCCTCTTAATCCAGATACTTAAATTCAAAAGCCCTCATCATACTCTTTAATAGATATTCACCTTTTCTATTGCTAGAAATATTCATGCCGCTTTCTGTCCTTGATTAACCTCATCACATGTTGCCTTTCATCATCTTTTCCCAACATTTTTTGCAACTAATATTCTCTGATACAGACCCCTCAGTGTTTACATGGGTCTGCTTTTCCCAATACAGGCCTCTTAAGTCCAGTATTAAAGTTTTTTTTTTTTAAATGTTGCATCAATAATCCCCCCCCCCTCTTTTAAGAGTTGTGCCCTTCATCTAGCCTTTTAAAATGTACATTAATCACCACATGGTGAATTTGGTGATGCATAATGGCTTGAAAATTATAGGAATAACTGTCAAGCATTTCTCTAAGTTAACAAAGTCAACTTGCAACCATCACTTGCGTTCCATCTATTGGCAGTCAATTCTTTTACACAGCTGGACATAGCCATTTGTTAATCATAGCAGTATTATTCACCTCATTCATATTTGACTAAATAAATACATCTAAATTTTTGGTCAGGACCTCACTGAGCAGTTGTATGCTCTCCAAGACTTGTGCTGATCAAATATGTTACAAAAAGCATTTTTCATCAGATGCAATCGGAAAGTAAGTTTTTGTGTCATTGAATGGGCCAACGAGCAAACCAGTGTTTGTCAAACCTTGCTTTCCTACCTATATTATCTCGTGTATGTTTTACTCTCGGCCATTTCCCACATTTATTCACTCTACTGTAACTTTGCTGTATCTTTGGTCATTTTATTTAGCTGTTTATATTGTGTTATTTTGTAATTTATACTAATGTCAGATTTTGCAGCGGCCTATTTCACATTTCAGTTTTATTCTGTGAGCAAGTGTCAGTTCATTAAATGGTTGATACTTGATCTGGAAAAAATTAATGACTCACATAGAATGCAAAACTGTTAGAAACTGTTTTAACATGGAAAATTAATTGACAGAAATGATAAATCGTATAGATGGAAACCATTTCAATCAGTCATAGCTTTTGCCCCCCCCCCCCCCCCAAAAAAAAAAAAAAAGATTGCATGGACTGAATAGCAAGGTCAACAGTGTACTTTATTTTCTTCATGGCAAAATATGAAAATCTCAGAAACTACGTGTGATTAAGAAGTTTTTCGTCATAGATAAATCCTGAGACTGAACTAATATTTGGAAATTGAACTTTAATTTTCCATTTTGAATGAATGGGGGAGGTGTGTGTTCGGAGGGGAAGGAGGATGTAGTGGAGAGGGAAGTAAGCTTTCCTTTTGTTACTATGCTTTCTGTCTCCTGTTATTGTTCATTTTCTTTTAATTACTCTAATCCCTTAGTCTCACCATGACATAACTTAATAACCAAACCTTAAACAGAAACTTTATGTTAAACTAAAGCAAAGAGATAAACAAGTGTTGAAATTTGATAAGTTGGACTTGTGACCCCCCCTCTACACTTTGAATGCATATTCACTACCCAATGCCATCTGCAAATCATGTTATAGAGGTGCAGGAGATTATTGGTTTTGCAATGACTTATTGTATGATGACCTTTGATGTATAGTATAAACAAGATTCCAAAACACTCAGATGCACTTTCTTTCTATTAAATAGGAAGTATATAAGTGGACTATGCTTTTCATTTACAACCTTACTAAATGTATGCATGTGTCCAATTTGTGAATGACAATGTGCTGTGTGATTGAAAATTAATATGGTGACAATAAAAATGTGAGGAAGCTGGGCCGCAGCCGTAGCCTAATGGCTAGAACGGGCGGCCCATATACAGAGCCTTTGCTCGCAAGCGGGCGGCCTGGGTTCAAATCCAGCCCATGGCCCTTTCCCGCAGGTCTCCCCCTCTCTATCTCTACCCCCTTTCCTGTCAAGCTCCTGTCATTAAAGGCCACTAGAGCCAAAAAAATATTTTTAAAAAAATGAGAGGAAGCTATTAAATAGACACAGGCATAGATACACGCACCTTTTGTTTATCTCTGAATAATTTTTAAAGCAGATATTTTGTTTTCCCATTTAAAGTTTATGTTTATAATTTTATTTATTAAAAACGGGTAACGATTTCATTCTAGTTAATGCTGCATGGAATAGTACCCAGAGCTTCCCTTGCTATAGGGCACATGACTTGGTAGAACTTACACAAAAAAACAGCTCATTTTGATGTTTAGCATACCAGAAAACTGAATTGAATCAGTTGAGGTTGGTATCAAAGTAAGGTGTGTAATAAAGTATGTCATAAAGTTGATATATATACCCCCAGCCTACAGAGTTTAAATTGCTGTTTGGCAAGCTATTAAACCCCCATATTGGCCAAATTTGTTTGCTTGTGTCTAAGATGAGAGAGGATGGAAATTTGTGCATTATCTATAGAATTAAAAAGGAAAGTCACAGTTAAAATGGGTGGCTGGGAAATATAAATGAAAAATTCTAAAAACCCCACTAAAAAAAGTACACGCATCTTTTATATTTTTGCACCATGTAAATATTATAATAATATTATTATATCATATTACTACTATTATCATATTAACAATATCCCTTTTAACTAAAAGTATGATTTATGATATATTTATTTTCACAAAAGTGGAAATAAAGAATCTTAACCCATAAACATAATGTAAATTATTTGCATGTTATCCTATAATGTGTATCCTGTTTATGGGTCACTGTTCCAACTATGATAAGTAGTTACAGTGCAGACATGTTGCATGTCCACTATTTGAGGATAGCCACTGTTTGATTTGAGTTATAAAAAAGATAAGAAAGGCTCTTAAGTTTGATTGATATAGATTTACAGCTGGTTTAGCAGAAATTCTAACGGAACAGAAATTCTAACAGTTTGATGCCATTGCAAATTAAATAAACTGTAGCACAAAACCAGCTCAAGTTGTTTTTATTGCGTTTTATTTGCGTTTTCTTTAGATGTTTTAATGCAAATGACCAGAAAAGTAAAAATTATTTTTAGCAATGTCGGCTATTTTGTTTTAGCAAATTTTTTAAAATCAGAAACAAGTGTTGAAAAAAAGGAGACAGCAGTCTGTCTTTTGGTTTAAAATGTTCAATCTCTTTTTTGATGATGCGTTTGGATCTTCTGAATATGAATGAACAGTGTAACTGGTCCGTTTTCATATTCAAATGTAACTTCAGGATATTAAAATTTGGATGACCTTTATTTTAACTAATGTTAAACACGGATAAAACGGAAGTTATTCTAGAGCCTAAGCACCTCCATGATGCATTATCTAAAGATATAGTTTCCCTGGATGGCTGTGATCAGGATATGTCGTTTAACTCTCACATTAAGGTACTTTCAAGGACCGCCTTTTTTCACCTACGCAATATTGCAAAAATAATTTTCTTTTTGTTTTGCTTTGTTTCGTGTGTGTGTGTGTGTCTGCGATTGGGGCGATGATTGGGTCTGGTTCTGGGTCTACTGTCCCCAGGCACCCAGTCTAATGCATTTGGACTGGGCATTTTGACTGAATCTTAGCCCCACCCCCCCACTGCTGCGACATCCTGCGGGCACGCCATGGCTCCCGGAGCACTAAGCTGGGGTGTGTGCTGGCCCACTCCATGGGGCAGTCCGGGGTGCCTGGCCCTCTCGGATGCTGGGGGTTGGCAGCTCTGCTGGGATGGTTTTTGCGGCGCTGGTTTCGGCCCTTGTCTGGCGGAGTGCTGTCACTGGGGGGCCTCTGCCCTATGCCTGTGGGGGGCTCTGTTTGGTGGCTCCCTCTGTGGTTGTCTCCATGGTGGTCTCCCTGGTGTCTGTGCTCCAGGAGTGCCAATGGTGGACTGGGTCTGGGGTCTTCTCTGCTTCCTCCAGATTGCTTGAGTGGGGCCGGTGGCGGCGTGGTGGTATGCATGGCTGAGCACAATCTGTGTGAAACCTGGGCTGCGTGCATTATACACACACACACTCATTTGCCCAGACACACACCTTTGAGCTTCTGTGCAGTTGCCCTAAAAAATTCTAAATATATACTGGTTGTCATTCGGGGGGATCACGAGGCGTTCCCAGGCCAGCCGGGACACATAGTCCCTCCAGCGGGTCCTGGGTCTTCCTCTGGGCCTTCTCCCGGTGGGACGAGCCCGGAACACCTCCCCAGGGAGGCGACCAGGAGGCATCCTAAACAGATGCCCGAGCCACCTCAACTGGCTCCTCTCCACGTGGAGGAGCAGCGGCTCTACTCTGAGCCCCTCCCGGATGGCCGAGCTTCTCACCCTATCTCTAAGGGAGAGCCCAGCCACCCTGCGGAGGAAACTCATTTCGGCCGCTTGTATCCGCAATCTCGTTCTTTCGGTCACTACCCAAAGCTCGTGACCATAGACGAGGGTGGGAACGTAGATCGACCGATAAATTGAGAGCTTCGCCTTTAGGCTCAGCTCTCTCTTCATCACGACAGACCGGTACAGCGCCCGCATTACTGCAGACGCCGCACAGATCCGCCTATTGATCTCACGCTCCCTACCCCCATTCGCGAACAAGACCCCGAGATACTTGAACTCCTCCACTTGGGGAAGGACGTCCGCTCCGACTCGGAGAAGGCACTCTACCCTTTTCCGGTGAGAGACCATGGTCTCGGACTTGGAGGAACTGATCCTCATCCCAGCCGCTTCGCACTCGGCTGCGAACCGCTCCAGCGAGAGCTGTAGGTCCCGACTTGATGAAGCCAACAGGACCACATCATCTGCAAAAAGCAGAGATGCGATCTTAAGGCCACCAAGAGTGACACCCTCAACACCTCGGCTGTGCCTAGAAATCCTGTCCATAAAAGTTATGAACAGGACCGGAGACATAGGGCAACCTTGGCGGAGTCCAACTCCCACCGGAAACGAGTCCGACTTACTACCGGCAATGCGAACCAGACTCTGACTCCGGTCGTACAGGGACCGAAC